AGGAGGCTTTTAGGGTGGGCCTGACAATTAATGAAAATAAAACAAAATGTATACCATGCGCTAAAACAGCCTTCAAAGACACTCACTTAGAAATTGGATAATGTAAATTTGAAACTGTTGACAGCTTCACATATTTAGGTTCTGAAATTAACAACGAAACAATATTACGACAGAAATACACAAAAGAATCACTGCTGCCAGTACATGTTTCAATGGAATACCAAAATATATGAGAAAAAGCTAAATTCAATGAAAAACAAAGGTTTTATTGCATAAGAGTCTTATAAAACCAATTTTGATATATGCATATGAAAGGGCCATGATGCGCACGAATGAGGATATGTTGAGCATTTTTCGAAGGAAGGTTTTGAGAAGTATTTTTGGAGGAATACAAAAAGATGGTGTGTGACTTAGAGGATCAAATTTGGAGCTATATTGCTCATGTGATGAACCTGACATCATTAATTTCATTAAATTCTAAAGAATAAAATGGGCTGGCCACGTTATCACAATGGATGAAGACCGTGCAACAACAACAACAACAACAAAATAAAAGAGTCTGAAACACCAGACTAACAGGCACACAGAAAATAGGCAGATCAAATCTAAGATGGTTATACTGCCTAAAAAATAACCTACTGGTCTTAAAATCCGAAAATTGGAAAACGCCAGCAGGGAGAAGATTGGTCTGGAAAAAGCTTCCTGAGAAAGCCAGGGCCCACTCTGGGCTGTAGGGCCATTGAGGAAGGAAGGAAGGACTAAATAATTAAAAATTTTAAGACTTCTCGCAATAGGCCAGAAGCCCTTCTGCTTAGCTATTCCTTAATTATTATTATTATTTCAAAAGATTATCCCCCTTTTGTTCAAAAGTTCTGCGGAGTTATCTACATCTACCAAATTAATCAGTTATGCCTATTTTAAAGTCTTCCCCCCGCTAATGAGCACAACTTTTTGTCAGATATTCATTACGAGACAGTCATTCTATTGGCAACTTCTGAAAATTCATCTACATCTATCTACATAAGTAGTTAAAAATTCTATTAGTACTCGTATTCGGTCAGCAGGGACTTCACAACTACCCGCTAGAAGATAATCCAACTATTAGAAATTTTTGCAGAGTTATTTATGTCTACCTACGTAACAAATTCAAGTATAATTTTGCAAGAGAGTCACTTAATATAACTGACAGAAGGCAAGAAGGATGTTAGAATTCTAACTGTGTAGGAAAGTGCTGTGCTAATTTGCATATTAAAATGTTCAATGCGTGGCTCTTTTTATATATGTAACAGCATCGTTATAACGGGTGAGTTCAGGCTTTTTAAAACTCTGAGAAATTAAGAAGTTACTTACCATTCGGACCATAGGCTTTGTCTTTATTCTTTTCGCCCGAGAAGCATAACGAAGAGTGTTCAAAGTCTCCGCTAAGTTAGCTCGACTCGGAGATACGCATGCTACCTAGAATAGGAAAATCATGTGATATATGGAGATGATTTAAATGAATATGCAAGTCAGATACTACAAATTGATTGCAAATAGTTTCTGGTGGAGATTCTACTGCTGGGACATACGGCACATCTGGAAATGTAAATTATATCCTACAAGAAAAATTAGTAACAATTTATTTCCTGCCCTTATCGTGCCTTTGTAATGCCATGCCATCATACAGGGCAACCGTACATTAATCATTCGAATGCTCTTAAATACAGTTCTTTTCATATTATCCCTCTAAGCCTCATTTGTGCGTTTCTAATATTCTGTGCTCATTTCTACCGCCAACAATGACGATGAAATCATCAGGCATAGGCTGATCATCATTTTCTAAGTAGTGATTGACATCATTTCCTAAGTAGGCTTAAAAGTTAGAACTTTAATGTAATAGTAGCCTCCATGTTCCACAAAATTGGACCTTAATTAGATTCTTGAGGTGCGCCTTTGTAATATTTTTTTAAGACATTAACGCCCTCTCTTCCGTAGATGACTTTTCTATTTTGCGTAGCTTATCACATCTTTAGACAATGGACAGCACAAAGAGGCAAGCGATACGTACGAGCAGAGCAAAGGAAAGTAAGATAGTAAGTGCGCATTTAAACCAGCATTGAGAGATAAAAGATATCCGTAATGCTACCCGTTACATGAGATGGCATGACGCGGATTACTTTTGAGATGAATTTTAGATTCATATATTATAAACAGTTAGTAATTTTAGGACGGGAACGGAAAGTAGCCAAACTAAATTGAGGAATAGAAAGGACTGTTGCCAAATTAAAGTGAGTAGTTTGGTTTCATATTTTATATCTTACATATTTATATATTTTAAAATCTAGTTATGCTTAATAATAAACAGTAAATGCAAAAATGTGTCTTCCGTACAATCTATGATCGTCTTCTCTCTTGCATAAACGCTGAATAGTTCTTTACTAATCGAAAATCTTGATATAGTTTTGGAGTAAGGAACCTTTGAGTTAAAAACCCCCAGAATGGCGATAAAATGCCAAAATGGTAACTTTTATTTATATTAAGTGTTACATCACACAGCAGATGAGCTCATTTATATCCTACTGAGCTTAAAAGTTTCTTTTTTATGCTCCACTTTATGTTGTTGATAATGCTCACTTGTCTGAGCTCAAGCGCACGAAATTCCTCGTGGGAAGGAGCGAAGTTTACGCTTGTCGTTGGCAACAACCTTGAGCACCATATAGGTGACAGTGCGATTTAGTTCAGTTTCGCTTCCACTTTTGATGGAGCACTCCGGGGGAGGAGTGCAAGGGTCTCCCACCCGTCTTACCCTACCACAATCTCTCGAGATGACTTTCGGCTCGCCGTATAGTTAGAGTGCCTCCATGCCGCACGGACACTGCCCATTTATAAACATCTAAGCCTTTTCCGGGATTCGATCCCGCGCAGTTTGGCATGGCAGTCAGCGACGCTAACCAATACTCGTTGGGCGGCCTGCACTTTCTTATAGTGACAGTCTGCTCTAGCGTTTGGAAATTGAGTGTAAGCTTTAAGTTGAATTTGATATTTTTCTTCAATTTGTACGTTTTCATACTTAGAACAAGCTTTTTTACTCGAGAACTAAAATTCTTTTTCTTTTCTTTCTTTCTTTCTTTCTTTTTTTTTTTTTTTTTTTTTTTTTTTTTTTTTTTTTGCATTATATGAAACAAATGCAGATTCATTTGAGGATAAATATTTGAATAATTTTTTGGATTCCGCAGCTATCTGATAAATCAGTTTTACCTATAGAAATGAAAATCCTCTGCGTTTATTTATTTATTTATTTTTAACCGACCAAGGATCCTAGTACAAGCATTTAATAAAACAGAAACGTCGAGCATTTCATTTTAAAACTAATTTGGAAAATTAGTAACATTCAGTTGCATTACGAATTTCAACACGAGTTGCAATTGAATTTGAGATATGTTTAGTAATATGAAATATTAAGTTATGAAAAATGTCCGGAATGAAAGGACTACTTATTTCAAAGTGTTGACACTTTGAAATCAGTTTGCTTGGATAATAAAAATAAGAGGAAACTTATGGAGAACAAAGCATTATTGTCGATAAGTTCCAAATTTATTTCACGGCTCCTTCATTCAATTTACGTGACAGAAGTACAGAAAAATACTAGTCTTTACTCTGTGTTTCCAAAGCACATTAAAGTTGTTTACAGATCGAGAACCAAATGAAAGTTTTTTTTTCCTTCATTCTTCATTTCTTGTGTATCTGAAATTTTATTAATCTGTTGCTTGTTCACAAAACTGCTAGCAAGCCACCATTTCAAAAAATTTTGAATTATTCTTACTCTTGGGGCATCAACTTGATGAAATCGTTCGAATGTCGCCAAGGAGTACAGTGCTTTGAACTCCTCTCTTTTTTAAGAACAATTTTTACGTCAACATTCGAGTAATCTTTAAGATAATACAACATCTAATAAATCATCCACTTGGCCCACCAGCGGATGGTCGCTGAGCACTGATAGTGCGAATCCCCGCAAACGGACTGTTTGCATGGGCGCTTTCGTCCTTTTCCCATGTGTAACGTGTATACGAGGCAGGTTTTCTTAGAAAGTTCTCCGCAAAAGCATCCTTCTCTTTAGGCCGAGAGCCCTCGAGTGCTTTGCTGTACCGTACACAATAAATCATTCTACATAAAAATGAAAATCTTCTTCAGGTGTTTTTTTGTTATTAACCGAAAAAGGTATTTAATATAGGTCTTTTACACAAATCGTTTCGTCCCACCTATGCTTAATTAAACGAATGTTTGGAAACTCAATATAACTGATAAATGGATTGAAAATTTCTGGTAATTTAGAGAATTTATGAAAGAGAAATTTTTTTGAATGGTATGAAATCATGGATAAAGGACTAACAGTATCAGATTATAAATGCTTGGACGGAGAAATGACGGCAGTTCTGTACACCATGAAGTATTACTAATGCGAGTTTCACTTTATTTGATTCTTACTTCGTCGAATTTATCTGGCGCAAGAAATTTATAAGCAAACCAGCAGGCCTTTATTCCGGATTTTCAAAGTACATTAGAATTATTTACGAGTCATACACTGGAAATCAAGGAACAAACTAAATGCAAATTTTCAGTTCATATCCTTAATTGCTTTATCTGGCTTTTGAAAATTATTTCATGAAATTGTTCCTTTACAGAATTGCTAATGCACCGTTATATTGGAAATGTTTTTGCATTTTCTGCGACAACCTGACGAAAATTTATGAATGTCGCTAAAAAATATTTCAGTTAATAAAGTTAATGCAAAGGGAAATACATTCAAACTTTTTTACATTTTACATTTTATAAATAATGATATTAATAATACACAAATAAATTTTAGAATATCTTCTAGGAAGTTAAGAATGATTATGAATGTCTAAAAACATGAATATAATAGTGTTAAGTGAATTTGAAAGCGCAGAAAAAATAAAAATATGTTTAAATTTCTTTATAACTCCTATGAATTTCACTTTTCGATCACTTAAATAAAAATTTATAAATTTTGTATTCTCTAGTTATCGAATTTTTAAATCCTTTTATATCTTTCATCCACTGCCAGATTTCTTAAATTTTTCAAAATGAAAATCTACAGCAAAGGATAATTTAAAAGAACATTTTTCATACTTTATTGTATAAATGGCGCTATTATTTAAAATGTTATTTCTGTTATTTGCGTTTCACGTCTACTCCGCCCTATATTTTTTATCATTGTTAAATTTCATAGGCGTTTCTAGTAGCGTTGTTTGTACAATTTTCAGATATCCTTTACGGGTGGAAAGGGGTGAAGACTTATAGTAATTTTTCTAGAGTATCAAAAAATATTCCAAATTTGGAGCCAATAGTGGAAAGATTCAAAAGCCAGTACTTACGTCTTATCCCGTCGACCGTGAAACTTGGATATCATAGAAAGCTGGCGTAGATTCCGCCAATCATTGCCGCGGAATATTGAAGGAACTGACGCCTCCTTATTTAATAAACAATGAATATTCGACCAGCTCCGTTCTTGTTCTACGTAAAATGGCTTTCGTCCATTTCTGTTATTTTGTTAAGTTTCACAGAAAGCTATACTTAGAAAGACTATGAATACAAAATTCCCACAGGCAACTGGTCCAATTTATTACAGCCTGTCTATCGTAAGAAAAGCTCTCGCCGGTTAGTTTGCAGCTATCTGTTGCCGTAGAAACGTGTCTTGACCCATTATCTGTAGGAGTGTCTTGAAGGCGAATGATAAACTCTTTCTTTATCCCTCAGCAAAAAATCCCCAGAAACAAAATAACAATAAAGCAACCCTTGGTTTCACCCCTATTTGAAATATACTAGCCCTGTTGTTATAGCGACCGCCATCAGCCAGACACTGTGGCGGAAGCTGTTCTTCACGTAAACAGACAGTACTGCTACGTCAGCCATATTCAGCTGCCCATTTCGTATCCATTAATACAATATTTTTTTATGGTAGGCTGCCATAACTTTGTAAATAATCCATTGCTTATTGTTCTGTAGAAGGCACTATATTTAATTCATATTCTTGTTCATAAAAACAAAAGGTGGTTTATCAAGAATCGTTCGGGGTAATATCAAATGAAAATGCGCACGAGTCACGATGAGTTGTTTATCATGCTCATCCATAATTGGTGCTAAATCGTGTTGTTTGGTAAGTTTCACGGTCGATTGGATAATATGGTTAAGAACCCCAAAACCTTTCTCTAACATACATACAACTTTTCACGCGTATGCATGAATGCATTCTTTTACACCAAAAAGGAGCATAGAATAGCTTGTTTGATTAACATTTTGATGCAGTTTAAAGTTGATACGGGAAACATAAATACGGATCTTTTATTATTTACTGTATTAGAGAAACAGATATCTTACCATTAGGGCCAATCCACTGCCCCCGAGACTGTCAGCCAAGAGTTTGGTGAGGGTGCTATCCCTGTATGGAATATGACCGCTCCTCTTTCTCGGGTCGGCGAGTGCTGAAATACAATTGCCTGAAAAGAAAATATTGTAATCAGAAGCTAAACATTTCACTTTTTGTGACATACGAAACCCAGTTTCTTCAAATCGTGTTTTCCCAATCAAATTCCAGTCTATTAACATATTAACAGCGCGTCGCGCAGCAGCACCACAGGTCCGGGCAAGGTCGACTCAGCCTTTCATTCCTTAAATGGGTCGATAAAATGAGTACCAAGTTCGCTTGGGAACTAAACACCGGGGATCTTGCGACAGACTGACCACTTGTTCAGGGCATACACTCGTGCACCCCGGGGCCTACGGTCAAGAAAGCAGATTTAGAAGTACTGCAGGCCTTGGCCTACTAGGGCTGTTACGCCACTGAGTTTAGCTTAGTTTTAGCATTTTAACAATGAGTCGCATAATTTTATTTTCTGCGTTCATTCAAAGAAAGCTTGAGTTGGATTATGATTTACTGATCGTACTGATAATATTACAATCTAAGTGGATATAAACACTTAAAGAAAGAACTGGGGGCCAGATAGGAGGATTAGTTTTCAGTACAAATTTCGACATTTAAACGCGGATACGCTTTTTAAATTTCTAATACAAGCAGCGCAGAAATAGATGAAAATCGTTAGCCAGAAATACATGAAAGTAAACTGTGTTCTTGCCCGATGTTGAATGCTGGATCTTCCGTGCTAGATGGATATGTTAACTGTTGTAAAATAGCACATATAAGAAAAATCTTTTAATTTCTTAAACTAAACTACGGATATAAAATACTCACGATATCCATCAAAACATATCTTTGTCACTACATCTTTGAAACAGTTTGCATGTAGTAATTTTAACTTTATTATTAGTTGTTAAAGAGAAAAAGACAAAAATAAAATATAAAAATTTTATGCCGTAAAATGGAAATTTTTCTTGAATGCATAAAATATATTAAATTAAACCCATTTTCTAAATGAATCGAAGGGGAAAATGTTAAAAATATACTAATATCTTTCTTTCCTTTCTTTCCACCGACAGCGAGGCAGCCGGTCCACTGGGTAGTTAGCATATTGGCCAGGTAGCCTCGCTGACGGAAATAACTTGAACAAAATAACACACTTATAAATACATATTGTGCTCAAGACGACTGCTGGGGGCAGTGCAAACAAATGCTGGACGAAGACGATAGTGCATGATGGAAGAAGGGTGCATTGCCGGTGAGAGGAACAATTTCAGTTACATATTTACAGAGTTATGAATAGGTGGTTACAAATACTATAATAAGAAGTAAAATACTAAACAAATTCAGCGTGAGCGAGAAAAAACTGCTTGGTTCATTAATTACCTCTATCCACAATACTTTTGCAGAACAAGAAGTGTACTGTGCAAGTATGCAAGGAAAAATTCAGCTGCTGCAACAGCAACTCAGCGTGAATGATAATCGTTCCTCAACAGCTCCGGCTACACCAGAAGACCTTCCAGAACAGACGGAAACAGAAGAAACCCCATTTACCGAAGTCAAAAAAGATAAAAGAAAAGCACGAACTGCGCAACTTAACAAACAGTTATCAGACCACGTCCTCCTATTAAAAGCAAAAGAAACAGATCGAACTCCAAACAAGTCGATCAAACTGACTACTGAACTAGCGCCAGGGAACTGGGCATTACTGTTGAAGAAGAGCGGCCCACCGCTCTAACGAACTTTTATTAGGGTGCAGTCACAGACAAATATAGAAACCTCAGGAAAGAGATTGAAGAAACCCACTCTCAGTATCAGTCACGCTCAGAGAGCCCACTTCCAGGAAGTTCACAATAATCGTTTTTGGTACCCCACATCCGCAACAGCAGACAACATACTGGCTTTTGCGAGCCGGTGCCTCACAAGTGAAGAACAAATACATCCAAGAAATTCCAATTCGCACACTATCGGCCTCAACCTACAGCAGAATCTGTACGAGGATATTAAGGGTCTTAGGAGAATTCTTATAGGATTCAGCTCTTGTTGCTTTCAGAAATACTTTCAAGTTGCAAGGTGTTTAAATTGTCAGCGGCTGGACCCTTGTTCATTCTTGAAGCAGCGTTGGCCTGCGTAAACTGTGGACAAGCTTATAGCCAGGTAACTGCAAAGCAAGACTCCACACTGCGTCAATTGCGCAACTCACAATAAATCCAAAGGCACTAGCTTCGACACCACACACCCGTCTAGGCAAGACATGTCAAGCCCTACAAGCAGAACTGTTCAATGAAAACACGGCGCAGTGGTAATGAACAGCAGGCTATTGCATATCCAAGAACAGTTCATGGTTTTTCAGTTCTTCAAGACAACTTGCAACGCAGCCAAGCCTGCAACTGTCCATGCAGCACAGGTTATTCTAGAAAACAGTGTAGATCTAGCCGCACTACAAGAGTTTCATTCCACATTAACAACAGGATCACAGGATTCAGCAACTTCAAAACTTACCATTCAGTAGGCAATCAAGCAGCCATCGCCTACAATGGTCCACTCACGCCCCTGCTAATGCATAAAGAAGATTACACAGTTACTGTACACCTGGAAGGGCCTTATGGTCAGATTGCCATCACCAGCGTGTATTTTCCTCCTTCGCACGACATTGTCACTGCACTCAAGGAGCTGGAACAAGTCATAATGATTCCGACTAGGAATAAGATAAGACTTTACGCTGCTAGCCCTCTATGGGGTGCGCCAGAGGAAAACAGGCGTGCTTGCCCTGTCCTTGACTTCATCACTTCTCATAACCTTGCAGTCGTCAACCCCACCGACAGCCCTCCTACATACTGGACTACCAGGGCTCAGGGGTGGCCTGATATCACTTTAGCCACCACTGGTATACTTAATAATATTCACAATTGGAAGGTTAGCGAAACCCCCTCGTTCAGTGACCATCGCTACATTGAGTTCAGAATTGATTCGGAGCACCAATTTATTACAAAGAACAGATGGAAAACGAAGTATATAATCCTCAACAAATTTAAAGATGTACTCTCAACCTACATTGAAAGTCTCGTCGCACAATGTAACAATTGCAACAGTAGTAAAGACATCGACGCCATGCATGAAGATCTTATGCAAACACCGCTCTCAGTGTACGAAAAAGTCTTGAAAAGGAAACATTACGCAGCCCCGAAATACACTCCTTGGTGGAGCACCACACTGACTGCTGAACGCAGCAAAGTCCGTGCCCTAAGGCGCAGAATGCAAGCATGCAAGGATCCCTTAGAAAGAGAGAAACACTCGCTAATTTTTCGAAAGCACAGAGCTGCTTACAAAAGACAGATTGCAAAAGCGAAGTTTTCATCCTGGAAAGAGTACTGTACCAACACTGCGAATAAGTTCGGAACTGTCTTCCGTATTGCACATGATAAGATGTTTACACCTACTAATCTTACTGCCACAATAAGCCACGGAGCAGCAACCAGCACAGACGTAGTTGCGCACATTCTGGACAATATCTTTAGACCTGATAACGCAGACACAGATAATTCCGCACAAAGAAATATCAGAGCCAGTGTTGAATACCAAGAAAACCAAGAAAACAGATTTTGAACCGATGCCAAACGCCAAAGAAATAAACGACATTGTTAAAGCGTTAAACACCAATAAAGCCCCAGGTCCTGATGGGATAGATAATGGCATTCTGCAAGCCATTAACAGTACGCATCTCGAGTTACTGTATGCCTACATTACAGCGCGTTGGCGCAACAGATATTTCCCATCCGGCACGAAACTCGGTGAGGTGGTGCTCTTCCTCAAAGGGAAAAAAGACCCTAATGTTCCAACGTCTTACCGGCCTATTTGCCTTTTTCCTGCCTTGGTTAAAGTACTAGAGAGAGTCGTCCTTCAAAGACTTAAACACTATATCCTGTCTGGACAAAGCATAAATGACAAACAATTCGGCTTCATTCCTGGCAGATCGGTGGATCACGCGCTGCAGCACCTACGAAAATTAATAGCAAATAACAGAAGAAATAACCAACATAGTCTCATTATCTCTGTGGACATACAGGGCGCATTCGACTCGTTGTGGTGGCCCGATGTACTGAAGAAATTACAGGACATGGGTTGCCCTAAGATTCTCTTTGACCTTATTTACAGCTACCTAAGTGATCGCCGCTTACAAGCCACTACGGAAGCAGGAGTGCACTCACGTTCCATCAACAGAGGCTGTCCTCAAGGATCCTGTCTGGGTCCACTGCTCTGGAATCTTGTAGCGGACACAGCGCTGACTCTCTTTAACACAGATCCTCACACGGAAATACTGGCTTATGCCGATGACTTTTTGCTGGTAACCAAAGGGCACAGTCGCAACGCATATGAGACTAGGGCGCAACAAGCAATGGACAAAATGGCCAAATGGGCCAATGACCATAAGTTAATTATTGCCAACTCAAAAACCCAAGGTATGCTTATTTGCCCAAGTAAGCGTCATCGAAGAACCCCGTGCATCAACCTTCATGGGGAAAAATATTAAAATAGTCAGAAACTTGAGGTACCTTGGAGTTATAATTGACGACACATTCACTTGGATACCACATTTAAAGGAGGTCAAGGCACGACTTCACAGGATATTTCATTCCATGCTCAGAACAGCAGCACTAACATGGGGAGTTTCTTCGAGGATGCTTAAGACGTGGTACTCTGTAGTTGCTGAACGTATTGCACTATATGGGGCCTCCATGTGGGGCATAACGATCACTACTAAAATGGAGAATCTGCTACGCTCAGCACAAAGACCATTCCTCCTAAGCATTACCCGAGGATATAAAACCTCGCCCACTAATGCTCTTAACGTGATTTCAGGACTACCGCCTCTGCATCTCTTAGCTCAGCGCGAGAGTGCAATAGTGCGAGTGCTCCGACTCAAAGAGACAATAAGTTTATGGGACAGGACTTATGTTTATACTGACTATGAGTAAAGCATTCCCGAGCCACCTTGCCACCCGGCCGAATTCAGCATCTCGATTAACTGCAGGACACCAACGTGGTTCAACGTCACTGCAATCTACACCGATGGTTCCAAAG